GGATGCGAGAAGCCATTCTCCCTTTCGTTCCCGAAGGAAGCGTTCCCGAGCCCCCAGCGAATCTGCCTCGAGCTTCCATTCCTGAGTTCTCCTTGACTCCTTTTACATCTCTTTTTCAAGTCCGGGGCAACAAAACCTCCTCACCCCTGCCACTCACCATGGAGGCACTCGGACAAGCATACGGCTATACTCTCTACGAGCACATCGCAACGTCCCCCATTGAGGGTAACGTACAGCCTGGAGACCGACCGCGAGACCGTGTTATAGTGTACGTCAACGAGAAGGTGAAGGGAGTCATGGACAGCCAGTATCAGCATCCTCTAAATGTTTCGGTGTCGCTCCAACCTGGCGACAAGCTACAACTGCTCGTCGAGAATCTCGGCCGTGTCGGGTACTACTCACGAGGAAATCCCTACCGTAACTACATGACAGACCCGTGGAAAGGAATAAAGGGAAACGTGTCTGTGGGTGGCGAAGTTATCACTGGCTGGGACATGTATCAGCTGCAGTTGGACAAGGTCCCGTCGAAGCCGCCTTGCAATGACCCCGCGATGAACGATCAAAGCGACGCACCAGTCTTTTACAAAGGCACATTCATCGGACCAGCCATCATCCACAATAGCTCCATGACACTCGATACATTCATCTCTGTGCCCAACGGTGTAAGAGGAAATGTATGGGTCAATAAGTTCAACCTGGGACGGTATTGGCTGGTCGGCCCTCAGCAGTCGCTCTATCTACCCGGGTCCATTGTCAAGCCAAACGAAGCGAACGAGGTGGTGATTCTAGAGCTAGAGCCTTGGCAAATGACGTCGTCCTCTATGGTAGCATATGGAGAGTCTGAAAGGTTTTGGGGTAACAACCCGGATCCCGACTGCTTAGAATGTGTATAGTCCTTCTATCTCTGGGCATTCAGTTTATTTCAGGTTGGTTGCCTTGACTAGCGCCATGTCTACGCTAGGAAATAACTTACATAGCTAAGCTGAAAGAGAAATCTCCAAGGAGGCTTGCCCTGAATTTGTGTAATAAGATGGCCAACGACTAGCATGAGAGTGGGACTTGTTTTCATTAACGGTGGTACTCAATGTACGTTATTTCCATTGCTGGTCGGCAGAGCCAAAACCAGTGGTCTCAATATACCTGAGCACATCGGCACTGCTTAAACATCAGGCGTCTTGACCCTAGTGGTCTCAACCTCAGCATGCTTCTCCTTCTCGTCCGCATACTCGACATGAGCAACCTCAGCCTCGTCGCCATCAAAGATCTTGGCAATCTCCTCCAGAGTAGGACCCTTGGTCTCGATGTAGAAGAAGTACACAAACACCAGCTCCACGGCAATCCAAACCTGCAAAGCAACGCATTAGTCTCTCTATATTCCGATGTCATGGCAGGACGACGTACCGTGTAGAAGCACCAGAAGTTCCAGTTGTTGGGCAGGTTCCTCAGAGCGATCGGGTTGGTCTGGTTGCCAATGGTGAGGGCGACCTGGATGAAGAAGTTCATGATCATCAGACCACGGGCACGGAGCCTGAAGGGAAGAATCTCGAGAGCGTATGCCACAAGGAGACCAGACCAGGCGATCGAGTAACAGACATCGAACATCCAGATCAGGGCGATCTGGGGGTATCCAAGTCGTTCAATCTCAGTCTCACCGGTCGCTTCGAACCGAGCAGCAACGATGGTCCAGGCAAGGAACATGAGCAACATGCCTGTTGCGATGTCAGTCGGCATGCAATCCTAATGTGTGGTCGTGCATCACTTACCGACGGTAGCGGTCAAGAAGAGAGGGCGTCGTCCGAACTTGTCAATTCCCATCGAGCAACCAATGGCAACAAACAACTTGAGCATGTTTTCTCCGGCATTGAGACCAGTCTTGGCGGCCTGGTCTGTGATACCGGCACCCTCATAAATAAGGTTGGAGTAGTTGCTGATGAGGGCATTACCAGAGTACTGCGAGATGATACCCAATGACACAACTTTAGAAATGTCAGTATAGTTCAACGGCAGAGTATTGTGTTACGTACGGAGCATAAGGCGGTGACGGTTGCCAGGAGTCTTGAGGAAGTCGAGGTAGCTGCTGTTCTTCTGGTGCTGGTACTCGAGGGCAATTGTGTCCTTGATCTCGGTGTACTCGAACTGAACGACGGCGTTGTTGGCATCGCCGTTGGCGTGGTACTTGGCAAGAATGCCGAGCGCCTCTTCGTGGCGTTCTTGGGCCATCAGCCAACGAGGGGATTCCGGAATCCACCACAGGAAGCAGAGCTGGATCATGGAGGGCACACCCTGGATCAGCGTGATGCTTCTCCATGACCAGTCGTTGTTGATGTTGATGGTGCCAAGACCAATGAAGGAGCAGACTAGAAGCTGGTGTCAGTCTCCGCAGTGTTGGTTCAATCAAGCTTCGGAAACATACCTGTGGCTCCCAAGTTCCACAGACAGTTGTAGATGGCAGTGACGATACCACGGTGCTGGGGGTGGCAGATTTCGGTGAGGAGAACAGGGCAAGACAGCTGAGCCAGCGAGTTGCCGAAACCGACGAGGAAGCGACCGCCAATGTACACTGTTGTTGGTGTTGATCAGCAATTGACTCGGCTGTGACAGGGGGGCTGCAAGACTTACTGCCTTCGCCGTTGGTAAAGGCGGACAGGAATGCGCCGAGGATCATGATCAGGCAGCCCACGGCGATGGGGATCTTGCGGCCGAAATGGTCACACATGTACGGTCTATTATTCAGGGTGGAATTAGCAACGCGGTTGCTCGATCTAGGGTCGCTGCTGGGGGCTCTTACGCGAAGGGGAAACTGGCGATACTACCAATCTGGTAGATGGCGTTGAGTATGCCGAGACGACCGCCGGTGGGATGGTTGAAGTAATCCTGCCATGCGTCCATTACTTGGGACGAGTTCAACATGGAACTGGGCGACGGTTAGCAACTTGAACATGATGCTCAATCCTGCCTCTTTCTTGGCACTCGGCCGGCTGGATTCGAATCAATTGCCACGTACCCATCGTAGCCAGTCGTGGCAGAGCAGACACAGAGAATGGCAGCGTAGAAGTACAGCTGGCGCATGCCAGGCTCCCTCCACCACTTCACCTTGGCGAGGTGGGGAGCGTCAGCCTGGGCGGCGGCGAGATCATTCTTGGCCGAGAGGGCGATTGCGAGAGGCATGCTGGGCGACAAGGAGGTGGGAAACCAAGACCTCGGATCAAGGGGATGCGATCGGAAGAGAGATCAGCGTGCGTTTTTTCGAGCAGCCAAGCCTTATATATGTACTGGTTTAGTTTTGCTGGAAAACGCGCTCCTCCAATTCCTCGGTGCATGCAGGCATGCATGTCGATCCTTGGTCGAGGCTTTGTGGTGCCACTTGCAATCGATCAAGCCTTTTTGCCATGGCCAGACCCCCGAGGGATCGGATCATTTAACCGGCTCCAACCAGGCCATGTCGCGAGTGCTCACATGGAGTGTTAACCCACCCATCACGAGCTCGCATCCATCGGTTGGCAGACAAAACATGGGAGTAGCAGTGGCGCGTGCCGGGTACCCGACCTGTCCAAGCCCTGTACCCCATGGATAAAGTCGTGCTTTTACCCGGTGGTTCAATGACCGTTAGACGACATTGGGGAAATGGAGCTTTACCCCATGGCATGCCCTCACCCATGCTCTCCTGTTCGGGCCCGTTTGGCCGAGAGAAATGACCTTTGTGGGAATAATGATTATCGCTCATGCGACATGTTGGCCTCGGAGGTTTCCAGCATTGTTCCATGACGGTAAAGAGCAGGATTCTGCCACGTCAATATCGGCCCTTCGCCCAGAGGGACGGCCTCGTGGGCTCCCATCTCATGTCCAGGCCGGTCCGATTTCTCCAGGTCACGATGGGGACCGTAAGCTGGACCCCAACCCGCTGGTTGGCTGGGGTATGTTCCCACGAGCACGACTCCAGGCGGCAATGCGGGATTCGGTCCTTTGCTGCAGGCAAGAATTGGCGACAACCACGGTTCCTCTGTCGGAAAGCACGGTGCAATTAGCTGCTGGAGCGCCGTCCGGACCGCCCTGTTTAAACTTCAGGAGTTTCTGCCCGTGTTGCCGGGTGGACAGCGTCCCGAAAGCGCTAGATCGTCAGGTCCATCCATCCTAAAGTCCCAATCTTTTCCCATGGGGTCTCCGTACTTTTGTGCGGTTACATACTTGGTGCAACTGTGGTCAACTCCACCTCCAACTTGGGGTAAGACAGTCAACACGTACTGCCTGAGACCGAACAGGGCCATCGGAGGCGGTGCTTTATCTTCTGGTCAAAACCACCGTTATCATGACCTGATCTGGCTTCTTTACCACATGGATGCGAAATACGCTGAATCTGTCACCAAGGCTGACAAGACCCATCCTTTGAGCTTTCCCGCCTCGTGGCGGTGGAGGACATTGCCCACACCCATGTTCAGAGCCATGTTCATTCATGGTTGAGAGATTCCACTGAACAAGCATGCTTGGTGGGTTGCACTAACGGTAATCCAGCCCTCTCGGCGATGCGCATCTGATGCTAGGTCCCAGACATTACGGTCAGGAAAGGCGCTTACTTGTTCGCTTGCTTGCTCATGATGAGGCGATTGGCCACTCACCACGCCAGTTTCTTTCTGCAGTGCGAACAACTGAATAGACAAGAGTATGGTCTTGCAATGTTGAAGTTTTCTTCCTTTTTTTTTCCTTTCTTTTTTTTATACCTTGTACAGCACTATCAACAATTGAACGCAGCATCGTAGCTGGTTAGTGACAGTGGCGGATTGTCGGAGTGATTGAACCATTAAGTAGTCGCCGGCAGGCTCGACGCAACAAACGAGACGCGCCTCCTTGTAGATCGATGCGCTTGACACATCCCTACTGCACATTTATGCTGTCGGGTACACAAAATAAGTCATGACGGCAAGACGATTGTGATGGGCTGTAACAGTGTGACCTGAAGCTAATAGATATAATACAAAATAATTACGCCTGAAGCAAACAGAGTCGCCCTCATAGTTTAGGGGTTATAACGCTACACTTGTAATGTAGAGGTCCGTAGTTCGATTCTGCGTGGGGGCTCACTCAACCACATTTTTTGCCTGTCTCTATCACGGATTCAGCCTACTGTGGAATGCCGCACTGTCAGTGGGTCTGCATTTGGTGTAGCTGCTAAATTCATGACCAAATTCGTACTTTTTACCCAACGAGGTAGGTACCTGGTCGAAATGTTCTGAAATCACAGTGGAATTTTGCTGCACATACCCTATACCAGTCCGGAGTAGTATCATTTTTTGTCACTGGGTTTATTCTATTACATACCATCTTACCTGTGTTATTATACTCGTTTCTTTACATAGGAAAATTGGCATCTTGTTCGCCTGTCTCATTACCATAAAAATATTGCGTAAATTATGCTTGATCGTGGTGCCCACCCATACTTCCCTCTTCCGGCCCTGATCCTTTGCCCCGTCCGTGGTCGTGATGGCAGCCTTTCAGTCACATCCCACCCATTTGAGAGCCTTGGTGCCAAACCCCATAGCAAGCCTTAATAACGTCAACATCATGCAGAAAGGTTTTGGTCCCTTATGAAACATGGCGATATCACTTGATCGCAGAGTGGATCGACGGCTCATCTGGGGTATTGATGAATGCGGACGCATAATCGAGCCTCTAGTCATGATGGCTTCCCTTGAAACTAGCAATCATCTTCGGTCTGGCCGTGTTGAGTATGCTAATCGCCAATCTGCTCTAAAACAATCGGCACTGACCCGCGTGGCCCGAGGCTAAGATCGACGGGCGCCAGCCAGACAAGGCTGCAATGCATGCAAGCTAGAGCACTAGTTGCGCGGATGAAACAGCCCACACAGTAATTACCAGATCTAGTTATCAGAATCTGAGTCAAACTCCTGTCTAGCTTTGCTTGACCGACTACCCTTCATGACAGAACAGCAATTGGCAGGATCCAACGGGAGCATACGAAATGGAGCTACGAGCAGCCAATGTCGATGACCACAATCACTTGGCCCAAGTATATATTCCAATGCATCCTCCCATAGAGCATTCGATTCACCACCCACCTTCACTTCACTCTCTTTCACCATCATCCTCCTGATCCAGGCTAGACCTTGCTCGAGTTGACCTCGAATTTCCATTCTTTTCTACATTCATTATTCGTCTCACACATTCCTTAGATTCTTTACCATTTCCATTGCCAACATCATTACAAAATGAAGTTCTCCGTTACACTCGCTACCTTGCTCCACGCCAGCCCGATGCTGGCGGCGCCGATGAGCCAAGCCGATGCTGGTATGCCGTTCAACTTTGCTTGTTTGCTGGTTATTGCATGAATCTAACATGATAATAGGTGGTCACAACCCAGATGCCCAACTGCTTATCCGCGACAATGGTGTCAGAGCTGCGTCGACCAAGTCAGTCATCATCTCAAAAGATGCAAAAAGCAACAACAGCTGACCCTAGACCAGTCCCCTGGCCACTATATTGGTAGACCTGAAGAGCGGTGGAAGCGCCGCCAACGGCTGCCTTGACATTGTTGGAGATGCCAATCTGGCCAACAATGTCCTTGGCTTTTTGAAGGATAACAGCCTGGTTCAGTCGGCCGAGCAACTACTTGGAAACTCGAGCTTCAAGGCTGAATTGACTGGTCTCTTCGGAAACCAGACCTTCCTGCTTGATCAACTGCTGCCCGCGGTTGGTCAGGGAGATTTCTTGGGACAGATCGGGAAGCTTGCTGGCAACACCGAGTTTCTCCATGCGATATTCTCTGTTCTGGGCAACGGTACCTTCATTTCCGAGATTGGTGCAGCGCTTGGCGCTGATTTCGACCTGGGTGCCAAGCTTACCGAGATTCTTGAGAGCCCCAACCTCTTGAAGGGCGTCGCCAGCCTGTTTGGCGACAGCGAGATCGGAAAGCAGCTCAGCGCGCTTCTTGGTAACTCGGACGTCATTGGTAGCATCACTGGCCTGCTGAGCGGAGATGGAGGTTTCGCTGCAGGCCTTGGCGATCTCCTTGCCCAAGGCGATTTTATTACCAAGGTTGGCGGCCTTCTCGGATTCAGCTCGACCATCATCGGAGATGTCAAGGGTCTCTTCGGCGCCGACGCCGACTTTGCGGCCGAGCTGCAGGGCTTCCTCGGAAAAGTTTCAGCTTCGCTGACCACTCTCCTTGGAAACGGCTCCTTCGGCAGCTTGCTGACCAACTTCCTGGGAGACGGCAGCTTTGCTGAACTCACAAAGAAGTTCTTTGCCGGCGGAGACATTTTCTCGGCCATTGGCAACCTGGCGGGTGACAACTCTTTCTTGAAGACACTTTCCGGCCTGTTCACCAAGGTGATTTCTGGAAACTTTGATATTTCTTCTCTTCTCTCGAGCCTGCAAGGAAATGTGGGCTTTTTGACTCAGCTCTGCGGAGTGTTCAACTTGGATGTCGGTTTCGCGCAGAAGTTTCTGGGCCTGTTCAAATCGGGCGGGCTGTTTGGGTTCTTCTCCAAATTCTTCCCTTTCAGAGGATAGATGGTGAAAGGTGATTAGCACAGCTCAAACTTGCTGCCTGAGTGGTGACACTATAAGCACAAGTACTTACCATATATAAAAATACATCCCATCAAACTACTTTACAAGAGAATTGTTAAAAATGTGTGTTCCAGAGTCTCAGTCGGTGTACCTGGGACATGTTCTGACAGAGTGAATGCCGCCTTCGACAGGCTCTTACGGCGCGGGCTGTTCGTTTAGGATCATAGAAGCATAAAGAAAAGACGGCTTAATTCAGCCGACTCTATGTATGGCGATGTGACTATTGTTGGTTGAGACGAGTCATGCGCATGCACTCCATAGCGGGCCAGCATATATTTGGCCAACGGAACAGCACGTTCAACAGCAAGCACGTTGGTTGGACATGTTGCGTTGCGACCATCCGCGGAGTAATGACCAACTGGGGCAACAAAGGAGACCTTGGCGCATCGTCCCCTGGCGATGCAGATCAAAGGCGCACCACGTATACATTTGCTAAGATCTCCCCACAATGCATATGGGTTCTACATACTACAGCTCGCTTTCCTCATGCTATCCCGGTGAGAGTCTGAATAGGGTTTGCTGTTCGGTGCTCCATATCGATCATTACCTTCCTAATCGAACTACCCCGCAAGGAGCGCCCAGCTTCATCAGGCTGAGAGTAGCTCCATTCTCAACGACCAGATGAGTCAAGCGTCCGGGCTATATAACCTAAGAAGGTAAGGTGAGGTAAACACACAAATCACGCGGAACATGGCAATTCGAGAGGAGCCATTAGAAGGACTATCGACTATTCATACGAGTTGTCTATCCTTTATCTGGCATTTCCAGCCGCGGGTAGCCGATTCACCGGCATTTGACCCGGGGACCCCGGACGTGAATAATAGTAGTAAGGGTGCTTGCAGCCATGCCAAGGAAATTCCATGAACTCAAGACCGGGGCATAGCCCACAAGCGGAAGCTAGATATCCATCATGGTTCTTGGAACGCCTTACAAGGCTTGTGTTCATCAAACAGCCACGCGAGTATAATAAGGGAGGCCAATCCACATGGTCTGGAGTATCATTCACAGGCTCATCGCTCAGTCACCTCTATTTCTTCTGCCCTACGTTCAAGATGAAGACGTCCCAGCTCTTCCTAGCTCTTTCAGCCTTCGGCGCCGCGCTAGCAGGCCCCATCGCCAACGAGGCTGTTGCCGTGAACACGCTAGAGACCGACACCAAGTTTCCTCTGGCTGCACTTGAGGACTGGTTCATCTCGAAGCTTGACGAGTCGGAAGATACCGAGGCTCACCTCCATGCCCGCCAGTATGCGAGCAGCACCTCTAACCAGCTCATTGATGGAACCGCTTGCCGAAGAGTGACGCTCATCTACGCTAGAGGCACTACACAGGCAGGCAATATCGGTGACCCAGCTGCCGTTGGGCCTCTGTTCTTCAACAGCCTGGCCTCCCGCATCGGCGTCAGCAGCCTCGCTGTCCAGGGCGTGACTTACGCCGCCAACATCGCCGGTTTCCTTATCGGTGGTGACCCTGCTGGCAGCCGGACGATGGCCCAGCTCGCTGAGAGGGTCTGTCCCGCCATATCAGTCTCCTTCTGATTCCTTATGCTAAATTCTTACCAGGCTGTCACTCAATGCCCCAATACTCGAATTGTGCTGAGCGGATACAGCCAGGGTGCTCAGCTCGTGCACAATGCCGCGAACCAGCTTTCTGCTGCCGTCGCAAACCGTATCACTGCGGGTGAGCACACATAGTCGAACGATCCCATCATCAATGGTTGCTAACACCCAATAAGTTCTGACGTTTGGCGATCCCAAGCGCGATCAGGGTTTCGGTGCCATCCCCGCTTCCCGGACGAGGGTTATCTGCCGTACCGGCGACAACATTTGCGATGGTGGTATCAACCCTGGAGGTGAGCACACTCGTTACCAGCAGAATGCTGACGAGGCCGCTGCCTGGGTTGCTGCTCGCGTTTAATGGGGTAGTGGGATTGAAAAGGCTGTCAAAGGATGATTGGATAGGCCTGCGTGGCTAGTACATATTTAAGTGAATAAGATGGGAAGGCATCCCAACAGCCCAATTGCCATAGGATACCGGGGTCAATTTGTGCGTTGGTGTTGGTTCCACTCCAGCCTCTCTGTCATACCGCATATCCTGCGCCAATTTTACCTTTACAGTCAAACTCAGCACGCTCATCCAGGTCACTCTTCCCCAGCTCGGTTCACGGGCTACACAAGTGCAGTAGAAAGTATTTGGGTTTTCTGTCTAAATGAGCAAGCCACGGAAGGGCGGAGATTGAAGTGACGGCCATGGCAAGGCGGGATAATGGGGCAGCTACGAGTTGATGAAGCGCTTCACGTCTAGCTGGAGGCAGGTCAACACGCCGACAGGGAAGGGTCAGAAAGGTCATTGTGCCAGTCGATGCGGAGGGATTTGTGATAACGAGAGTTAGGGTGGACTTGGGCTATTTATGTATAGCAGTCAATTGAACCGCGATCGGCGTGCTACACCAACCAATCGTTTGTACAGCGGCAGGAGAGCATTCATGGTCA